AAGCATGCCGCAATTTTGGTCACACTCCTTTTTGCAACGGTAAAATGGCATTTTCCTTCATTTTCGTGAATTACGGGTGGGGTCAAAATTATTTCAAGCATCTAGTACTTCTGACAACTTCTGATTGCTCCTGAAAGCACTGGAAACTGCTGAAATAATGATCAGGGGGCTAGATATCTTTGTTAAGAGGCTTGGTAGTGATGCAAAAGTCCAGGATTTGATCAATTTTTTTCTGAGCCCAGCCATGAGGGGGGTGCTCAAGCCCCCCTCAGCCCCTGCTGGATACGCTCCTACCCTCCAAAATTACCCGCTATACGGTACAAACAAAGGTACTGCACAAACTTTGAATTGATTATAAATCAGTCACCAAATCTGTCATCGGAGTAATTTTTGTTGCATGTTTTCCAATTATGTATAGAATAGTTGGTACTAGTTAATTTCTGATATTACTTCTTTTATACTCTCAAAAAAGGTAAAACATCCCAATAAGAGGTCATTAAATCAAATTTTACAAATAGTTATCAATATTATTTGCTTCAAAAGTTAGACAAACTGCAAGTGAGCTATGAAATAGGACACCAAACAGTTACAGAAGAAGTCAGCAAAGGGAAAAACATTTATGCCATTGCCAGGCTACATTGCTAATATTTGCTAGGCAACCTAATAAACTGAATAAAATAATTCAGTCCACCTATGCAACAAAAGTTTCCTATCCCTTTAATTTACTCTAATATCTATGATGTAATCATAAATAAATAATAGAGTAAATGAATGGATTGGTAACTACTGTTACCACCTGACGATGCAGTTTTCGTCACCCCTGGTTACCTGGTTGGCAACGTCCAATGTCCATGTATATTTGCATTGCCCATCTCCTCTATAGTAGTTGTTGTGCAGAAAGGATCTCAAAAAATATATTAGATAGCACTTGCTTATGATATATCTTTCTTTCCATGTAGAAAATTAGGGCTATCTACAGCAAGGTTTTTATAGGTATACAAAGTTGGCATTTTTTGACACTTTTTCGCCTCTACAGCTTATTATTACTATTGTAATTAATATTGTGTTTATAATTTGTAATAGTATCGATGTGTGTCTATGTGTACCATCTTGATTACTCTTCTATGTTCTAGATATTCTTTTTGTGGTTCTAGAATTATCTTTATGGTTATGATTAGAGCTCTTTGTTATGTACATACAAGTTGCTGTGTTGTGTGACCTTTTGTCAGTTTTTAGTCAGTCTTTTGTTAAGTTTACTCTAGTTTTGTCAGTTCAGTTAATCTTTTATCTGTGATTCATAATAGAGCTATTTGCTTTTGAGTGATCATATACTCTGTGAAGCCGCTGTTTTACAACACAGCTTTCGTGCTTTTGCTTTCTAGTGTTACCTCATGCCATATATGGGGGGAAATTTTGAAGGGAATTAAATTTGGCGTTTTGATAGCCATTTGCCAAAATAAAATCTGCCATTTTCAGCCATTTGCCACATTAAAACTCAACAATCACCAAAATTTAGCTCCCTCCAAAGTTTTCCAGTATATGGTATCATTCTGTAGGTGATTGAAAGTTTTTTCATATTCTGACAAGCTTTAGTGACAAATTTCTTCATTAAAGAGGGAGAAAACAGCAATTTTATGGGCAAAAGCACTATAACACTCAAAATATTAATTTAAATATACCAAATAAATAATGATTAACAGTGCAAAACATCAAGCTCTTTGATAGTTGAGTTTCTTTTTCATCAGAACACTGTTCTTTGAACTATTGAAATTTTAATGAAAAAAAATCAAGAATTTTGTGGTCAAAAAGTAACAAACCACCTAGTCAGCAATTTTTTTGCTTAGCAACAATAACGAAATGACATTATTGCTATGCCCACGCAAAAGTTTCCAATCCTTTACTTTATTATTTATGATGTAATTATAGGTAACAAACCACACCCACTTCCAGCATTGTATTTTTCAAAGGTTTCATTTTCTTTACGAGTTTCTAAGAATAAACTATAACATCTAACCCCATCCATAATCTGTCCAATAGTTTGATGTTGAAACTACATTTAATAATAAGATAATTATAACAATAGGATAGATAAAATTTACATTGTGTACCTCATTAAGATCTAAGGACTGTTCCATTTCATGACGTTCATAATCATATTTAACTAAACGACATCTCTCAATAGGAATATGAGGAGCTAATTTCATTACCTGATAAAGAAATAAAAGAATATTTAGAAATAGATCAACTTAAAATGAACCTCATAAGCTTTATCCAGTACTATGGGTAGTAATTCATCTTTATGTACTTCAAGGAATGAGCTGTTTAATTCCCCAGTAACAGGATGATTACAATGCAATATGATCTATAAAATAAAAGTAAGTAAATAGTATATACTTAGTCTGTCTCACTCTTACTAAACACATTTCTTCTTCAATTTGTTTTCCTTTTTTTCTCTGTCTCTTCTCTTCAGTTTTTTTCACATCTATTCATATATAAACAATCAAATCATGACACACATCATCAATAAAACCTATAATATCTTTTATACTCTTCTCATTGTGTTTTCTTTTGGTCATGAGTTCCATATTCATTAATGTTATTCTTTCTTGTAATTTCTCTATTATTCTTTTATTATCTACTAATGGCTGATAGTCTGGACTTGTCATTGCTTCAAGATCAAATCTGCAGTCATCAATTTCAAAAGACATTCCTCTTCTCACTTTGCTAGCAGCTTTAATTATATAATAATTATTAGTATAATTAATAAAACAACACCAACCTGAATCAGTATTACTAGAAAGTATTCCCAAAAACTCGACCTTCATTTTTGATAATTTGTCAGACAATTCTTTGTTTTTTTCTTTTATCTCATTAAACTGAGAGCTCAATACAGTTAACTCTTCATAAAAGGGTTCTTCCTATTAATAATTATTATAATTAATACAAGCTAGTGAGATATACCTCAACTTCTTTAATTGATTCAGTATCACTTTGAACAGACAATAATTCTTCCTAATAATCAAAACATTACATTTATATAAACTATGTGATCAATAGCAGGTAATTTTGGAGGAGGAATTTTAGCATTTTTACAAAATTCAAGCCACCATTTTGAACCATTATGTACATGGTCAATGGCACACAGCCACAGATTAAACATAACCACAAATTAAAACCTTCCAATCACCAAAAACTTTAACACTTTGCCAAAAACCCTCCAAAATTACCAGCAATATGGTACATCAATCAACATATACCCATGTAAAAACTGCAAGATTAAACTTCTAACCTCAGCTACTTGAGCTATTAATATTTCTTGTTTCAATTCAATTCTTTCCTATACATACAAAATTGCATTGTACAGTTTGGTAGCATGATATACCTTCTCTTTGCTACTGATAGCATCTCTTAGTTTATATTCAGTTTCTTTAAGTATAATATAAGAAATAACCTGTACACAATAGTACTTAAAATTGCACTTTTATACGAGGCAAATTTAAACTGACTTCTGTATGTAATAAGTCTTGATCCTTTTCTTTTAGTTCCTACATGTATACAAAAACAATATTCATAAAGCAATATTAACATTATGTACCTTTTGCCTAACATCTTGTCTCCTCCATAATGTTAAGTTGCCAATAGTCAGTTTCTTTAATCCTTGTCCCATTAGTATATGAATATTCTCTATCATCCTCAATACAGTAAACCCAATATCAGAGAAAGGAAAGGAGCAAGTGACAGATATTGAAGTGGAAGGTTCTAAATACTTGATCTTCAGAAGTTTACCACATACTTTTGACAGTATATCCTTAATATCCTTCAGCACATGTTCCTTAGGCTCCCAGTCAAAAA